CCACAAGGCACGTCAGATAGCTCATAGGAATAAAAGTCGGAGAGATCACTTTGCCTTCAACCACTTTTGTCCTTGAAACATATTCCCCTCTACTAACTTCCTGCCTGATACATAACCAGCTGGAAGGGGCAAAGTTTATTTTCTTTTGGAGTAGGGACCCTAGCCAGCCAGGTCAAGTTACTGAATACCTAGCATACTTTCCGAAGATTTATTACGCAGTATTCATTGCAGTTGCATGGCGCCAGAGCAAGGTATAGTGTGTTACAACCTAATGTGTCCTAAAATCCTGATATCATGCGACCGGTCCGCCACGTTTAAAAGCGAAAAGCCTGATATCATGCATCTGGTCCGCAAAGTGTTAAGCTCAAAATATATATCACATAAATGGTATTCCTATTATTGAAGTTGAGTACAGCCAATGAAATAAAACTCCCTCTCAGTGTGACCAGAATATTACTTTTCCTTCTGTTCCAATGTAATGTATTAAGAAATCAAATATTTATTTTCTTCATGGTGTATATAACTTCTGGCATATTTTATTTGCAACAAAGTATAGTGTAATACACATATTACCAGTACACAAATGGTCTTTGTAGTCTTACTGAATAGATAATTTCTTTCTGTCACAGTTTGAAGATTTATCCTGAAACTATTAACTAACACTAGAATAAAAGTAAAATTTATAAAAAGTGTGTTATGTTGGATTGTCTTGTGCAAATACTACATAGTTACACTGTAATACAGTCAGCTATGACTATGAATATAAAGGCAGTGGGAGTGTTTGTAGAGAATTGTAAGCTAAAAGTGAGTGAGGGAAAATTTATCAGAATGTTTTGTTTAATTTAGTTCAGTTTCTGCATAATTCCAAATTAGACTGACGTTGGTCATACAATTAACCTTTAACGTTCAAAGTGGCCCGATTGGGCCAGTGATGAGTCTGGTCGACGTGGCCAAAGTACCCTGATTTGGCCAGTCGGGCATTTAAACTCCACTAGCAGAAGTGCACGCACAAGCCACTAGTAGAAGCGCATGCACAGTCATAAATATTTATTTTTAAATGTAGTAATTACCAGACAGACTTGAGTAAAACCATAATAGAGGAACTAAAATGATACCTAAGTGAACAACAAAAAAGAATATACGTATGAGTTATGCCCAAACTCATCCACGAGCCAGTACTTTTATTGCAGATTCTGCAGATTTATGTGTTAAGAATATATAGTAAAATTTGATATGCATACCTTTTCCGTTGTTAGCTGCTTGATGTATACATAGGCTGAAATGAAACTAAAGTATTCGATTTCACTATGCATCTCAGCCACGATGCAACTGTCTGTTCATGACCATAGAAAGGACAATAATCTCTTGCAGCTACAACGGAAGGTCTTAGCACTGAAGAAGGGACCCCTCTAACTTTTTTTTGAATAGCCATGCTTTCATTCTTCTGTCCTTTAGTCAAAAGATTCGAAAATCTGAAGAGTGTAACAAAAATGTGAAACTTGCCAGCGGAAGACCAAATGATTTTATTACTTCCACCTGTTTTATGACACCATGGACTGCTAAAATATGTCAAGTATTACAAACAGGACTGATTTTATAATGCAGAGCAACTCTGTGAAGAAATGGGAAACAATTTTTACAGTACATATCAATATTAAAAAAAAATAAAATACTGTATAACTCTTTGTATAAAAATTTGCAAATCTTATTTTATAATATGTGACACTATGTTCTTTGCTGATACAAACAAAGTTAATTCCATCCGTTTATCATAAAAGTTGTGCTAGATACAGCATTTTTAAACACAATGCTTAAAATTTTTTAAGCATCCTAACGGGAACGAATATTTAAACGCAGAGCAGCAACAGGCATTTAAATAAACTTGGCCAGCTCAAGCTTACCACCATTTCAAAGTCCGCCATTTAAAGGTTAAATCCTGCCATTTACAGAAACAGGGAATGTGGAAGAAACACATTACACTTACTACCTTCTTCACGCTGGTTTCTTGCCTGGCGTGTTCCTTGACCCTGAAGATGGACGTGACATGTGTCTCCAAAATGTCAGGTGACTTCCAGCAGACTACATGGCATCATATACCAGGAGATAAAAATCTTTGTAACTACTGCTGTGAGAACCTCAACTCCTAACCATCTGTTTTCTTATTTGTGTTCACAGTTTTATATTCATAATGGTCTATAAAGAGATTGTGATTTTATTTTTCATTATGCAATCAACTATGAATGTATGCATGTGGTGGTTTGTGGCTGCTTAGATGGAGTAAGACACTTCTGAGCCCTCCTGAAAAAAAGAGAGATAGCATACCACTTTGCATTAATTGTGTTGATTCAGCTAGTTGGTAAGTGCCTTTAACTAAAAATATATAAATTTATCATCTCCCACTCCTAAAATTATCTGAACTGAATATAATCAGTAGGATTCCATGATAAACCACAACTAATTAGGATTTTATGTATATTTTCATTGGTTTCACAGGTAATTCCTTCCCCCACCCTGCTTCAGGTCACCTTTCACTCAAATATGAGTATATTCCATGAGTTCTTGGACAAATTCTACCAGTGTAGGGCTATGTTTTGTGCCAAGTTATGAGAACAACACCATTCTGGAGATAGTATACAATGTTCATAATTCTTGTGAGTTTGTATCAAACATGCAGCTGTATGTAGTAGATCAGTAAAATTAGGTGATACAGAACGAAATTCCTCTACAGGTTTTTGCTCCTCATAGTTTATGCTGAAAACTAAACAAAGTTGACTCAGATGTGAGAAGGTGGAGAGAATAATTTTCAGATTTACTTAATGTAAAGTGATGTCAGTGTATCTGCAATTAATTAAAGTTAGGTTAAGTTCAGTGCTTCAGGTGGGGAAAATGGTAGTGGGATGTGCAAAAATCTTGGGGAAAAATCCATGCCAATGTTGACACCATATGTCACAGACATATTTATTTGCTGTGAAAGCTTCAAACCTTAAAGTAGTGGGATGATTTTAGCAAATCTACAGGCAGTTTTCTTTAAGGAGTGTGCTTCCAAGACTGTCATTATGAGAGAGAAGATATAATTTGTCACTTTCCAAAAAATATCACATTTTTCATAATATAAATTATTTGTATTTATATTATAAGGCTTAATACAAAATATAATATACAGAGTGTACCAAAAGTCACGTTCTGTAGGCATATGTATAAACTAGGTATGTAGGATTCTGAATGATGACTAAAGTAATCTCCCCCCCCCCCAAAACAGGGCGACAAATTAATACAAGAAGAAAAAATGAAGTTGGTATTTATGCACAAAGGAGATGGGGGTTTCACAGTGATCTGTTGCTCTCAAATTCAGTATAAAATATTCAAGAAGGCCACCAATTGGCTAAAAAACCATGGGAAGTGTCATTAATTGTTTAAACAAACAAGAAGAATGAATGACTCTTAGTGGTGGCCATCAAAGATAAGCGGATTTCATGACGAGGTACCGTGAGGCTTTCTCAGTATGTGGTAATTTATATTCTGTTAATTAACCTTTAAATGCTGGACTTCTGAAATGGTGGTAAGCTTGAGCTGGCCGGAGTTTATTTAAATGCCCTCTGCTGGTGTGCATTTAAATGTCTGTTCCTGTTAGGGTGCTTAAACAATTTTAAGCATTGTGTTTGAAAATGCTGTATCTAACTCAATTTTTATGATAAATGGATGGAATTAACTTTGTTTGTATCAGCAAAGAACACAGTGTCACATATTATATCAGAAGATTTGAAAATTTTTATACAAAGTGTTATACTCTATTTTCAATTTTTTTCTTTTAATTTTGATGCGTACTGCAAAAATGGTTTCACAGAGATGATCCACATTATAAATTCATTTTTGTTTGTAACACTTGACATATTTTAGCAGTCCCTGGTGTCATAAAACAGATGGAAGCAATAAAATCATTTGGTCTTCTGCTAGCACTGCTTACACTCTTTGGATTTTCAAATCTTTTGTCTAAAGGACAGAAGAATGAAAGATTGGCTATTCAAGAGAAAGCTAGAGGGGTCCCTTCTTCAGTGCTAAGACCTTCTGTTATAACTGCAAGAGATTATTGCCCTTTCTATGGTTGTGAACAGACAGTTGCATCATGTCTGAGATACAGTGTGAGATCTGTTTTCTGTGCGTTCATAGTGAAATCGAATACTGTAGTTTCATTTCAGCCTATATATACATCAAGCAGATAACAACAAAAGAGGTATGTACATCGAATTTTACTGTATATTTTTAACACATTAATCTGCAGAATATGCAATAAAAGTATTGGCTCATGGATGAGTCTGGGCATAACTCATACGTATACTCTTTTTTGTTGTTCACTTAGATATCATTTTAATTCCTCTATTATGGTTTTACTCAAGTCTGTCTGGTAATTACTACATATAAAAATAAATATTTAGGACTGCATGAGCTTCTACTAGCGGCATGTGTGCACACTTCCACTAGCAGAGTTTAAATGCCCGACTGGCCAAAACGGGGTACTTTGGCCACGATGATTGGGGCACTTCGGACGTTAAATGTTAAGTATTAGCTATCACAATTACATTATGGAATATGCAGCAAGTAAGAGTGCCAGCAAAATGGAGCCATTAAAGATGAATAAAGCTAAAGGGCCATATGAGAATAATAATGTATATGATTTCATCAAGACATGAAGAGATATTTATGAATACAATTTTCAGCATATAAATTGGATCTGGAAGACTCTCTTAGTCTAGCATTAATAAATGTGTAGGACTGAAGACTGTGTGCAGGTAAGGAATTAGGAGAAGCATTACTTTGTATTATATAGTTTAGAAGATGACACCCATAAATTTTTAGAATAACATGTGTTAATATATGTAGGGAAACATTCTGATTGAATTCTAAGTTATAAAAGTATTTATGATGTTTCATCTTACATACTAGATAATACACTTAATACTGAGTCCAGGGGCTTGATGAATTTGAAAAACAAATGCATGCCATTACATTAAATACTTTATTCAGGCGACAGAAGTGGTGGCAGACATGGAGAATGTTGTTCTCTGGAAACAGATGGCTTCATCCTAAGTAAGTCTGTATCTAATTCTCCTGAGTCAAGAGGTTTGTGTCCTGGAGGTGGCAGGTGATATGGGGAGAAGCCTCCCCAGTCCACACCGAGAAAAATTCCACCTGATCCAGGAGAGGTTGTAGACACTGTTGGCCCACCTGCACCTGGGCTGAAAGAACCTAAAGGGCTACTTCCTAAAAAAAAATAAATTGATTTAATGAAAGCCTTAATAGATTTCTGGCCAGCATAATTATTCTTTTCTTCTTACAATGACCATTATTGTGAAATTTACAACTTTAGTGTCTCTGGTTAGTAATTAAATAAAAAGCCTGAAGTCCTTGAAGATGTATGTACAGTACAGTCTCTGTAAATTATCTGGGATATTTTAAAAGAAAAGTGGTTTTATTTAAACTGAAAAGAATTTTGTCTTTCAGTTTTAAGCATATCCATCATTTGATGCCCAAAGAAAGTTCATTATCTCTTAGACATATTTAATCACACGAGGAAACACGTTTATCATTTTAAACAATTTACTACATTACATTGCATTGCATTCCCTGGATCCAAAGTGACTGTAGGATGTTGAATATATCACATAAATACAAAAACATACGTACAGTACAACTGAAGTTTTCACACAAGAAAACACAGTGGTTACACATGAGGCTATTCAAAAACACATCAATCCTGTCAACTTATACTATTGACACAACCTTTAAATGGAGGAGTTATTTTTTAAGACAATAAGTATTCATCAACAGAGTAGAATGAGTGTGTGTTTAAGTATCGTAATGTTATTTTAAATTTTGTTTTTCATTCATAAGACTTTTGAGATCAGATGGCAGGTTACTGAAAATTTTGATCCTGGCATAATACATGCTTCTCTGAAAGCATGAGAGGTTAGCAGTTGGTTTACGGAGACAGTGCTTGTGTCTTATGTTAACAATGTGTACATCTGCATTGGTCTGAAAATGTTCTTCATTATTTATAGTGAAGTTTATTAATGAAAATATATACTCATATATAAGACATAAGATCTCTAGTCTCTTAAATATATATGTACAAGAATTAAGGGGGTTTGACACCTATAATGAGTCTTAACAATTTTCTTTTGCAATGTAAATACCTTTTTGCTGTCAGATGAATTACCCAGAATATTATTCCATACTTCATTAAAGAATGAAAGTAGAAAAATTAATTGATTTGAGTGTGCCAATGTTGCTGATATGCAACATAGGCTGCATAACATGCTCCACTTAGCTTTAGAATGAACTGATTGATATGATCTTTCTAGTTTACTAGTAAATGATTATCAACCTGTAAGCCAATGAACTTTGTTATAAATTTTGTTATATTTGTTTTATCTGGATTCAGGGATAGCTTGTTTACAGAAAACCACTTACTCATTTAAGTGAGAACTTTGACAGTATGCAGAAATCATTAAAATTTTACTATAAATTATGATACTGGTGACATCAGCAGATATTCTGAGTATTGATGAGGTATTAGTGTAGGGAGAGGTCAGTTATATAGACTATGAAAAACAAAGAACCTAAAATTGGCCCCTGGGGAACTCCATGCTTAAGTCATCCATCCCAGAATCTGTCGTTCAGGAACAATGGATAAGAGATTCAAGGGTATTCGAAGTAATAGAAAAAACTTCCGTTTGAAAAATTATATTACATAGGTTCACCTGAGGAACAACACTGAGCAATGAGCTAAGGTATGTGTATGTTAATTGTCATGATCCTCCCCCACAGAATAAAGTATGAATCTATCATATATCAAGTTGCACTGTATATTAATCACATTTGTATTTCATGTTATTTGATGGTTTTGTGACCTCAAATATGGATATTAAACTTAGTGACATGACCAGAAATATGGAGTATAGCTCTCATCTGGAAGCATGGGTCTCAAATATTCTCTGAGCATCAAGTATTGCACATATGGAAGTATACTAAAATAAGAAGAGAACTTGGGGTATGAGTATGCATTGCCTCTTTGGTTTGATGATGGTAATGTATGATCAGCTGGTTGGGAACAGCATAAAATTGTCAGATGTATAAATAAAAATGTACAAAGATAGATCACAACATTCTTTCTTTTTTAATCAAGACTTTGCATCCTCTTCATCCAGAGTAGGGCATTTAACAAAACCAAATGTATAAATTCTTCATATAACTTCTTTGTAAAAGTTGTTGTGAACTGTATGTAGCTTTTCTCTTAGAGAATATACCTATATTTGTATTCCAAAGATATTTTAATTAATTTTATGTGTGTTCCATTTCAGCCATATTCTGACATTTCTGAAGATCAGTGTCTAGTAATCACTGTCATAATTTGTATAATTTCAATAATGTGTCTTAATAGTATGTTTATCTAAAGATTTATAATACTTTAACTAAGTAACAATGTAGGGGATAGAGCTGGTTGCAGTAAATTGTTGAAATATTTGACTCACCAAGGGACAAAGTGGTAGCAGAGCTTGTTGCAGTAGTAATGGACTGTGATGGTGATAACAATGGTGACTCCAGACTCAGGTTTCCTGGGCTTGATACTGCATGTAACATATAAAAAATGGTCTCAGTATGTATAATACAAAACTATGTCACTGCAGAATAAAACATTACCTTATGAGACATGTACCTGGAGCAGAGTTTAGGCAGATTTCAGCATAAGCATGTAGAGCAATAACTGTTCTCTGTGAGCACATGCCTTATATGATTTTGAATGGTGTAGGATTTGCTGTTAGGTTTGTAATTGTCAGTGATGTTCTAGACAAATAACTCCTCTATATCCTGACATATGACCATGGTTGAAGTTTTTAGGTCTTCATAGACTGGAGGACTTCAGTGTCTTCATCTCTCTCCTCCCAATTGCAGGCCGATGCAAACTGATGTGAAGGGGGGACTTTTTGTGCTGTCATTGTAGCACAATTGTGAAAGTGTTTCCAGATAAGCTTAATGTGATTCACAACTTTCATTTCCACAGATCCAGAAAATACCACGCTTGTACTAAGCATGGTCTACGTACAAAAGGTCCCTAACTGCAGTGCTGGGAAAGTAAAGAACACATCTTGTTTGAAGAATGAAATACTCTTAGTGGTCAAAAACAAGAAGCAGGCTGTGGCACTTCTGAAATCTAATCTCTTTGGATCACACTCTCCCATGCCATCTTTTAAGACATACGAGGGTCGTACTGAAAGTCATGAGCAACAATTTTTTGTGAAGTAATATGCTTTATTATTGACAAACCAAATACACTACCTCAATCTACAGAACTTTCTTTATTTTTCCATATAATGGCCACTTCTTTGTACACATTTCTCCCATCGTTCTGGGAGTTTGAAAATTTCTCCTTCTGTAAAATTCTGTTCCAGCCATCCGAAGACACTGACACACTGCTTTCTGAATTGCCTCCCTTGTCTCAAAACGTCCACGCAGCTGATCCTTCACAAATCTGAAAAGATGGTAGTTGGACGGTACCAAAACAGGGTTATGGGGGGGGGGGGGGTGGAAGAACTTCCCACCCCATCTTCGCAATTGCTGCCAATGTGATCTTTGTGGTCTTCAGTCAAAAACCACGGGACCCAACGAGCACAAACTTTCCTATAGCCCAAGCTTTCAATCATCTCCTGTGCCCTATTCCAAGTTTTTGGGCTATTGTGTCCACAGCCACACGCCTGTCATCTTGAATGATCTCATCCACTCTTTCCTTGTTGTGTTCAGTTGAGGCTGTTTGAGGACAACCGCTCTGAGGCTCATCTTCGATGCTGGTGTTCCCATCTTTAAAATGTTTCACCCATCTTTGAACACTGCTCACACCGATGCGCACACTTCCATAAGCTCCCAGAACGCTAGGAGAAATGTGTACAAAGAAGTGGCGATCATGTGGAAAAATAAAGAAAGGTCTATAGATTGAGGTGGTGTATTTGGTTTGTCAATAATAAAGCATGTTTCTTTACAAAAAATTATTGCTCATGACTTTCAGTACAACCTACATAATTATGTCGCTATCCACATCAGAGTACGTGCATACCTGACCTTGCTGTGAAAAAGAAAATATATACGTTTCAGAATCCATCTTATGCCACACGATAGAAGAAAACCACACACACACACTGTGACATTAGATCTACCTTGTAAATTCAAACTTGCTGAATCTTATCCATGCTTCTAACACACTAATCCCTCTTGTGCATACATCTTCAATGACAGTGTAGCTTTAATGCAGCTCAGTCCCAGCAGCTTATCTTTTTGATTTTCATGGTAGTGACAACTATCTTGTAAATATTCATATGTATAAAACTTCTGCAACTGAATTCTGACATCTGAAAAGGATCTTTATATGTGTTATAGGAGGCTTTCAGTCAGATAATTTCAAGGACCAGGAGTTGCTACACATTTATTCCATGAAGGATATGCTCTGAGCCACCTCCTGTAACATTTCCCAGTTGCCTAATATACACATCAAATACGTGTCCTTTGGTGGAAAGATGAAAATCATGGTGCCATTTGTGACTGGAAAGAAGCTCTGAGACATTTTCACACCCACACCATGCAGGAGAACTTGATAATGTTAAAAATGTCTATACTAGGGCTGAAGAGGAGGACAAATTGCAAGTGGTGAAACAATATATTCAGGTATAGTAGTCCTCTTAATTTTTATCAGCGGGGGGAGTCATATTCAGATGTCTTCAGATTGGTGACGCTCACCTAACATATGAACATTTACCATTCAATGCATTTTAATGGAATGCTTATGCTATGGTGAATGTCTTTCAGTTAATCTTCAAGGTAAACTGCATGACATCCTTGGAGACAATCAGTATACTGTGTCTAATTTACTTACATTCCTCAATGTTATGGAGGTTGTCAAACCTATTTAATGACAGAATTTCTAGTATTTATAGATATACTTGTGACTGTCTCATTTTTTGTTGTTATTTAAGGCCTCAAATACAAGCCAATATACAGCTTGCAGTCTGCTGTCTTATTTTAGCATATTGTTCTATTTTATTTAATTTTTTCTGTCAATCTGTTTTGTCAATCCAATTTTAAATCTGAGAAATATTAGAATTTTATTTAATTTTTGCCCTCAGAAGGTAATTAACATTTCAACTTTAATTTCATCTAGGTGCAAATTGCCAGTGATGCTAATGTGCCTTAAAACATTTATGCACACATATATGTATGCTCAAAGTTATTTTCATAAGCTACACAAAATCATATTTGTCATGCAACTTTCTGTGTTACATCTCAGAATGTATAACAAATCGCTTTCATTTCTAAATTACAATACCAAAGCCCTTCTCCTGTGAAATTTCTAGGATTTAGCATTTTCCTTTCCTATGGCCTTTCAATCATGAACCTTTGAACTTCACTGTCATTGTTACACTCTAGTATTCCACAGCATCAGCAATATAAACTCATATGTAATTAGAATCTGGATCCCATAACTAAACCTCTCTGACATTTAATTTACTTTTCAGCAGTTATTTTCTATTACAGACTTACCTGGTATTGAAACAAGCCCTTGAACTAATTGGACATTGCTGTGTGCCATCTGTTGATGTTTTGCTGCCAGCTTCTCCTGTTTGCGCCACTTGGCTCGACGGTTCTGGAACCATACCTTAAGGCAAGATATTACAAGTTACCTAATACTCAGCTGAGAATAATACTGCAGAACTTAAAAATATGGACTCACCAGAGCATTTTTTACAGTAAAGAGCATATGAAATATGAAGTGAAGTACCACAGGCTCTTTTCCCAAAGTTTGAGCAATGGAGTGTAACACTGAAACTTCACTTCCATCTGTCACTGTGGAACTTACCTGTACATGCCTATACACTACCTTTATATGATGTTTAAGCACAACTTTACTTTTAAGCAGATCCTTATGAATTCATTGATGACTACAACAGTGTCCAAGTTTCTGGAAACAATCCAGAAATAAGCTGTATTATCCAGTCTTCAGCACTTTATGCTTCTTTGGGCACCACATACAACACCTTTCTTGAAAAATGATATACAGGGGTTGAACAAAACAATGAAAACACAACAGATACTGTCCACATTTCTTTAATTGACATGATGTTGGACCACCTTTAGCCTTCAATACAGCTGCAATTCTTCTTGGAAGGGACTCGTATAGGTTTTGAACAGTCTCTATTGCAATTTTTTAACATTCTTCTTGTAGAACATCAAGTTGCTTTAGAGATGTTGAAGGTGGGAATCAGTTGCTTAATCTAGTCTCCAAAACTGACAAAAGTGGTTCAATGCTCATACCTGGTGATTGTGCTTGCCAGGAAAGACACTTAAATTCACCTTTATACTCTTCAAAGACTGAACAGTTCTAGTTGTGTGAATGGGGAACTGTCATCTTGGAAAACTACATCGCTGTTCAGAAATAACATCTGAGTCATGGGATGCACCTGATTACCCAGCCACTCCACATATCCCTTACAGTAATTCGGCCATGAAGGGTAATAATGGGACAAACAGAATATTGTACCACGATATTACTGCCCAAACCATCACAGAACCTGCCCCATGTTTCACTGTTGGAACCAGGCATTCCGGATTGTAGACTTCCTAGGGTGTTCTCCAAATGTAAACTCTTCCTGATGTAGGGAACACCGTGAAGGCCGACTCATCTGACTATATCAATTGCCCGTTTCCAGTTGTCTGATATCCTGCTTTTATGGTCGTGACACCGTCGTTTACGCAAATGAGCATTACTTTCAGCAATCAGAAGTTTAGCAATTGCAGCTATAACGTGGATTGGTGAAGCTCGCGTCGGACAGTTTTTGTGGAAATAGAGTCTTTAAGATGAACATTCAGTTCTACTGCAGTACTTCTTCAATTTTTCGGAACAATACTTCACAATACAATACAGTCTTTTTCTGTCAATGTTGATTTTAACTCATTGTTCCTCTTCGCTAATGTCTTCCCTTCATTTGTGTATTCCGACATAACCTTAGAAACTCTCAGTCTCGATACACATAATAATGTGTTTTTGTCATACATGTTCCAGTCAAATGCGCATTGACGATATGTCCTCTTTAAAATTCAGCGAAATCTTCCACTTTCCGTTTCTTTCACACTAATTGTCACTCAACACGATCACTTCCACCACGAAAAGATCAATCTTTTGCAAACAAATAGAATTTTAACTTTCAGTAATGCCAACCGAAGTTCTTTCAATATGGTCAACACAAAAATTCTATTCCTCAGTCTATTGGGGTTATAGCGTTTCCGTCATATTGTCCACATGCTGTTCCTGTCATTACAGGGCTGTGTGTGGAAGTGATTTGTTTCACAGTTTTAATAAAAAGAAGTTCTTTGGAAAATGCGGAAAGTTGGGTTAAGTAAGAAGTTTCGTTTATCCAGATCAAGTATGAAGATAACAGTTGCATTATTCATGTACCCTCTAAGGTAATCCATATTTTATGGTTTCCTATTGTGAGGGATCTCAGATATTGACTAATTATATATTTTACTTGGATTGTATTATATTGAAACCCTTACAATTCTGATGTTCCATTTATATAAAGATGTAACAAGATGAGAAAGTGTTTGATCTTAAAAATACCACTATTAATTACCGATAATTTGATTACTGGTTTTTGTTGCATCATTATTAATGACTATAAAACGGCAAAGTTGTCCCAGTGCTTAATTAATGAACCACTATGCCATGACATATGGGGGAGTGGAAGTGTAGGTCCACGATTCTGGATATTAATGATTGTACATAAATTATTTTCATTTATATTGCCCTTCCTATTAAAACTATATACAGAGTGTCCCAGAGGGATGTGCCAGACTTCGGAAGGGTGTTCCTTATGTTAAAGTATGCCGATATAACCCAAAACACCTATGTCCAAAGTTGAACGGTTATGGAGGTAATGGCCAGAGAAGTGTGAAACTTTGACAGGTGTTACACACTTGTTGATTACCAAATACATATTAAAACTGCCAGGAATATGTCGTTTCTGTAATGTTAATAATGTACCTAACATCAAACTAACTTGTGAGTGACATGAAGCCTTTAAATTTAACTACAAAAAAACTCACATGCCATGTCATTGTTGTCGTCAGGGTTCCAAGCTCTGTACATGACACATGAATTGCAAGCACTGACGTAACATGGCTGACTGCGCGTTCTGGTATGCGAGTGTATGCGGCTAGTGAGGTCTGTCATCACCACACTCAAAGACAAACATAGATAAGACTTGTCAGCTGACAGGTACAGTGCGTGGACCCTCCAGAAGACCACACTTTTCTCGGGCCATTATCTCCGTAACCGTTCAACTTTGGACATAGGTGTTTTGGGTTATATCGGCATACTTTAACATAAGGAACACCCT